CATAGACCACATACATACCCTTTGGCAAGTTGTACAGAAGTCCGAGGAGTACAATTTGCCACTATGCCTGGCGTATGTAGACTATGAGAAAGCCTTTGATTCCGTCGAAATTTGGGCGGTGCTGCAGTCCCTTCAGCGGTACCAAGTTGACTGTCGTTATATCGAAGTGCTGAAGTGCTTGTACAGTAGGGCTACAATGGCTATCCGAGTACAGAACCAGAGTACGAAACCTATCCAATTGCAGAGAGGTGTAAGACAGGCTGACGTTATATCCCCGAAACTCTTCACCGCTGCATTGTAAGACGTTTTCAAGCTTCTGGACTGGAAAGGATACAGTATTAACAACAATGGCGAGTATATCACTCACCTTCGATTTGCCGACGATATAGTCCTTATGGCAGAATCGCTGGAGGACCTAAGCACCATGCTCAATGACCTCAATAGTGTCTCCCAACGGATATGTCTTAAGATGAACAGGGATAAAACAAAAATCATGTTTAACGTCCATGTCACACCTATGCCGGTAGTTGTTGGGAGCACTAAGCTCGAAGTTGTTGACGAGTATGTTTACCTGGGACAAATAGTCCGACTAGGTAAGTCCAACTTCGACTGAGAGGTCAATCGACGGATACAACTCGGCTGGGCAGCGTTCGGGAAACTACGACACATCTTCTCGTCAGACTTTCCTCAAAATCTAAAAACGAAATTATACAACCAGTGCGTGTTGCCAGTGATGATTTACGGATCTGATACGTGGTCCTTCACTGCTGGCCGTATGAGGAAGCTCAAGGTCGCTCAGCGAGCTATGGAGAGGGCTATGCTCGGAGTTTCTCTGCGTGATAAATTTAGAAATGAGGATATCCGCAGTAGAACCAGAGTGACCGACATAGCCCAACGGATTAGTAAGCTGAAGTGGCAGTGGGCCGGCCATATAGCTCGAAGAACCGACAACCGATGTGGAAGAAAGGTTCTCGAGTGGCAGCCTCGTACCGGTAGGCGAAGTGTAGGGCGTCCCCCCACGAGATGGAGTGACGACCTGGTAAGACATGCAGGAAGTCGATGGATGCAGGTGGCTCAGGACCGTGCTTTGTGGCATTCCTTGGGGGAGGCCTATGTTCAGCAGAGGACTTATGAAAGGCTGTAATGATGATGATGATGATTCTGTGAGAGCGTGGTCCTTCCCCGGTTCAGCCGACCCATTCGTGCTACAACTATACCAGTAATACAGCTGCAGCATGACTCTACCACGTAATAATTGCGAAGAAGCGCAGTTTTTAGTTTTAGTCGTTATTAGGAAGACACTGCTGCCCATCTCCTGATTTGTTTCCCTCTGTCCCCTATTACGACACCCACGGGACAACATGGGGAAGTTAGATATTCTTACATTGCCACCTTGACGTTGGTCAAGACGTTGTTGCTCTAATTTAGGGTTAAATTTTGAAATTGTGTGCCACAAAGGTACACGGCATACCAGCGTAATATATAGCGAATTATTTAATACTAGCTGTGCCCACGGCGTAGCTCGCGTATACAGGTTTTACATTAAGAATTTGTCGTTTAGGTAAGAGAATATTAAACGATTTATTTCATTACTGTATCAATAAGTGGTAACTAAATAAATCATTATCATCAAAGTTCTAAGTCGTTTATGATAGAGCTTCTGTGTAAACGACGTTAGAAGTAGGCTTAGCCGGGGTGTACACAAAAAGGTTACAGGGGCTACTAACGCGGGAAAAAGCAACATAGAGTTGGCCATGTGCAAAACAGTCAGTACTGAGGTATACTCCTACAACGCGTAAAGTTTGACCTTGCGCTTTATTTACGGTCATCGCATAACACACGCTCACTGTAACTGGGAACTGAACGCGCATAAAACTGAAAGGAAAGTTACTTCTTAATAGAGGGTTTTTGGGCAGTGCTGCCAGATAAAAAAAAACTCATTCAGCTCTAGGACAACACAAAAAGCGCTAGATTTCATGAAAACAGCGCTTTAAAAAAGCCCTAGATTTCGCGCTAAATTAACTACAAACAAAGTTTGTGTTTTTTTTATATAATCATAATAAAGAAAACAATATTAAGTTTTTTTTCTGGCAATATTTTTTTGATGTATCAATACTTCGCAGGACATCGACTTATAATTATGGCAATTGCTGTCGACAGTAGTTAGTACTGTACGAACAATAAAAATGTCATTAATTGTTTTAAAGTGCAATGTATTTCGCAACTTAGTTTCAGATGTCAGCATCTGATTGCGGTTGCTACACAGTTTCTTTGTGTTATAACTTCTAAGTAACTTTTAACTTAACTGTGCTCTAAGCAACTGACTGAAACTGAATAAAGCAAAATAAATGCGTTGCCAAAACCATGAACGAAAACTTCCAAAAAAGCGCTAAATCTAGTTCCCAAAGCGCTAAAATGGCAGTACTGATTTTGCGTATATTATAAATACAATATCACCACATTTCGTTGCAAAATTTTTAGAGAATTAACCAATTTTAATAAAACAAAGATTAAATGTAAATCGAAGATACGCTTTATGATTTTCTTAACGATTTCTTTGAAAATAAAAGATGTTTACTTTAGACGTGATGCGTTCATATAATAACAGACAAATAGACAGACAGACAATTCTAAAAATTATAAAATGTTCTTATTTAATTATTTTCAGTTCCCCATAATGATTTTAGCCACCAAAATATATATATATACAATGTACAGAAAGAGACACAACATGTTATCATCATTTTTATTATATGTATATATTTAAAGAGAGATGGCGCTGCTAACATCAATTCTAAAAATAAAAGAGATTAATTGACGCGATTGATACATTATATAAAACGCAAGAGAACTTATAAATCAGTGCCTGCACAGTAAGCAAAAAATAAAGTTTGACTCTCGCCAAAACCAACGCAATTGTTAATAGCTCTTTTAAAATTTGATTTACCACATAGAGTACTCGGCGGTAAAGAAAATAATGAGTTTGTCAACACGCAGTATGGCAGCGAGTAATATAAAGATAAGCAGTAAATATGAAAACTCATCTACAGGAAAAAACCACATTGCAATTGCAATACATTTGCACAACACCACCATCTATCGATCAACTATTGTGCTTCAGATTTAGTTAATAAGGTTAATATATTTTTGTATAATATATTTAATACGTTCTTTAATACTTTTCTTTACTGCGTTTTAGATATACATAATTATATCATTATTTTACATAATTTAACTATGATTTATGATATGATATTAGTTTAAAATGCACTTGATGACTCAAACAAAGCCACCGTTGAGCAAATTCGTACCTATACTTCCCTACCCATATTTCAGAACATTTATCATAACTTTTGATGGAATGAACTGATTTTAATGAAATAAAGACTAAATGTAACCCGAAGATACACTTTATAACTTCCTTAACAATTCTTATGATATAAATTAGTACTTTATACGTGATACGTTAACAAACAAATAGACAGACAGACAGACAGACAGAAAATTCTAAAAATGGTAGAAATGTATTTAATTACTTATTTTTAGGGCCCCTCAATCACTTTTATTACAAAAATATAAAATGTACAGACATCTGCTATTTACAGTTTTATTATATGTATAGATAAGACGGGACGTGCGTCCTCTAAATTAAAACAAAAAACAAAAACAACAAAAGAATACATTACTTTTACAAAAAGAGTACATTATTTTACAAATAAATATTTAAATATTTAATTTTTTTTTTAATATTTTGTGATATTAAAACTTTTTTGTGTTCTTTTTACTACAAAAAAATAATTGTTAGTTTTTGGTAGTTAATTTTTTTTTACTTAGTAGTAGTTAGTTAATCTTTTTAGCTACCTTATAGTAATGTTAAGCTTGTAAGAAATGCTGTGAGCACTAAGTATGCGTTGTTCACCTGTTATTTAATGTGCACTTAGTTTATATTACTGTCTTAGAATTTAGCATAAGTGTTAGTGTAACATTTGTTGGTGAACTAAATAAATAAAATCAATTTGTATGCGAACACGCGCGACAGCTATATAATAAATACTATGGACAATGTTGATGCTGCCATCTGAATATTTTGGTCTAATAGAAACTCTTTTTTCAGTCAGATATTAAAAAGGTTTTTTATTAAACTAAGAAGAAAGCTACATATACGTTGTCATCTCTGTGAACTAAGTTGAAATGCCTCTCAAGTTGTAAATGTGGCCGTGTGGAAGGAAAAGGAGAAACCTCCCGCTGGGCAAGATAATTTAAGTTTCTAGTTCAGCCTTTTTTTATAGCCTGGAGAGCGGCCAACGCTGCGAGTGGTAGTTCGGAGCTATTTATGGTTAGTGGATGCTGTGGCCCATAGAGATCTACATTTATCCTCGATTAAGAATCAAAATGCAGATGAGTTATAACCCCTGAGGACTAAAGTGGAGTGCCTTGTTTCCAGTAACAAGGGTCTCTACTTCTCTACACTCACCATACGAAACCCAGCAGCATGGCTCTACCACGTAATATATATGCTCTAATAAAGATCATTGACTTGATGTGTAGTTTTTTTTAACACAATTGTTGTGGTAATTTTTCAAACTGTACTTTTATGGGCAATAATTTGAAGTATCTATGTACCTAAATAATTTAAAATTAAAAATTTTGTACAGCTGACTTCAATATAAGTTATTTAAGAATAACTCAAAAGCTATTGGTCTGACCTTGATCAGATTCATATGGGTCCACACGAGAACTATCAGCTTTCATGTAAAAAAAGAATTATCGAAATCGGTTCAACCAGTACAAAGTAATGAGGTAACACACATAAAAAAAAACAAAAAAAATACAGTCGAATTGAGTACCGTCTCCTTTTTGGAAGTCGGCAGAAAATTAAAAAGGACTAAACTATAATAACGAAATCTAGTACATCTAAAATCTGAATCTATATAATAAATTTTGTCAATATTGTATTATATTCTTCAGTAATCATAAAGGTAAAATAAAAAATTACTCACCAGTATTTTTATATATCACAAATATTATCCTAGCGAATATGATTAATAGCAAAACAAATACTGGTAATAGTCCTAAAATTTTTCCAGTAACCGCATCCATTTGGTTCTCGTGTCTTATTTCAACAGTAATTTCTGTAACTGTGTCCGGTTCTAGCCTCTCCATGACACGGAAGAAATAAAAAAAAATAACTTTATTTTTTTGTTGTCACACTAAAAACGAAATTTAAAGGTCCAATAAAAACCTCCTTTGTTTATTTTTTTTAATAACACTTTTAAAAATTGGAACTTTCAAAACTGAACGCGTCGAATGCGATTCGATTACTGCTTGGTGTAAAATTTTGTCTCCAGCTCACGCGTGGTACTGTTATTGATAAATAAGAAATAACGTTACGGTGTTATCTTAGAGGCTATTTTCCCTAACAACATGTTTTATGAATGGATCTATACAATTTGAAGAGGTACTGTGATTCAGACACGTAGGTTGAGTATTTTTATTCAAAATACAGGACTTTAATAATACAAGATTTATTTTATCTACTGTTTCCATATTTTATATTAAATATATTACACCATTCATATTACTGTGAAGGACACAATATTTGTGATAAACTCAATTGAAGGAAGGAATTGTATTTAGTAATTATAATGAAAATAGCCTAATTTTTGGAACGATATCTTTATTTCGTCGACGCAAGAAATAAATATTTCATCTAAATAAGTATTACTTTGTAATCGGCTCCGGCAGCTAAAGACAATGAAAGAAGTTGCGCGGGTATCCTGTTTTTGTGAGGTTTTCAAGGCCATAGAAGCAATAGGCGTATTTCATATAAAATAAGGAAACAACAAATTCTTAGATATTTAAAGAAAAATATCAAGATCCTAGACCATAGTAAAAAAATAGATATCCGAATCCGAGTAGCTAGTCCACAAACAAGTGGTAGAGCCACGTTGACGTGGTAGTGCCACGCTGCAGCTATATTATACTTACTTACTTACTTATCTTCACGCACAATCCCTGACGGGGTAGCCAGAGAGAACAGATCGCCAAGTGTCACGATCCTTACATATCTCTTTCGCTTCTTTCAGATTCATTATCTTCTTCATACATGCACGTCTAGGTATCCGAGTACTCTTGACCCTACCCTCTTCGAGCAATTTGCTCACATGGTCTTCGAAAGTTAGTCTCGGTCTACCTCGACACCTTTTAATATTAACTTTCGCGCTATATATTTTCTTCACCATTCGGTCTTCACTCATTCGCTCAACGTGCCCAAACCACCGAAGCACGCCCTTATCAATTTTTGTGATAAGGTCATCTTTCAAACCTGCCATATTGCGAATCTCTTCGTTTCGCTTTCGGTCGGCCATAGTAACGCCGCACATTTTACGAAGAGATCGCATCTCCACTGCATTCAACTTACTTTTATGCTTCTTCTGGCATACCCAGGTTTCGCTGCCATATAACAAAGTCGGTACCAACACTGCGTTATGTATTGCAAGGCGTGCACTCTTCGCTACGCCTTGCCTTTTGACTAACGCAGTCAGGGCACCATTGACTTTGTTCCCGGCAGCGACACGCCTGTCCACATCTAAATCACATCTTCCATCCCGGCTAAAAGCACTCCCCAAGTATACAATTTCATTTACCTGTTCTAGACATTCCTGATTTACCCATATTTCACACTTCGTTCTCTCTTCGCCCCTTTCAAATACCAGAACCTTAGTTTTATTAGCATTCAAACGGAGACCTTTAATTTCACATTCCTCTTTCATACACGTGACTAATGCCTGCAGTTCTGCCTCTGATGGTGCAATAAGCACTGCATCATCAGCATACAGCAGACAATTTACTTTTATGTCACCCAATTTCACACCCAAACAGCTATCTTTCAGCTTTTGTAAACAGCTGTCGAGATACAGTATGAACAGCCAGGAAGACATGACACAACCCTGTTTTACGCCCGTTTGGACGCTAAACATGGGTGACAGGTCATGCCCTACCCGCACACAGGCTTTACAGTCACAGTAAAGAGACTGCACAGCCCTTAGCAATCGGCCATCCACACCATACCCCGGCAACAGTTCCCACATTTTCTTCCTTACAACCTTATCAAATGCTTTCTCAAGATCCACAAAAGCACAGAAAATCTTCTGGTTAACAGCCAGAAGCTTTTCCGTGATCATACGGAGAGAAAACATTTGATCCGTGCATCCTCTTCCAGGTCTAAATCCGCATTGTGCCTCCCATAGAAATCTTTCCGATTTCTCTTGCATCCTACGTGTCAAAACCTTCGAGTAAACTTTACTTGCTAAACTGGTCAAGCTGATCGCCCGATAGCACCCGCAGTCAAAATGTGAACCTTTACCTTTATATAAAGGCACAATGACTGCGGATCGCCAATCATCCGGGACATCCCCCGTCCGCCAGCACAAATTGCACAGCAGATGAAAGCTGTCCCAGACGCGAGGCCCACCATACTTGACCATTTCAGCAGTAACTCTGTCTAGTCCCGCAGCCTTACCACATTTCAAACTTCGAATCACACGTTCAATCTCTTTCATACTGATGACCTCAGTGTCATCGAGGTCCGGGTCTGGCGTGCCAGTCACGGCGTCATCCCCGGATCCCTCACTAAGATCATCACACGCATACATTTCTCTATAAAATTCGCTCCATCGCTGCATGACGTCCGATTTTTCTGAGAGGACGTCATTAGTTCTCGAAAGCACTTTGTTCATTCTTAAGGCCGTCGCACCACTTCGGGTCCTTCCAACCTCTTTCCAGAAGAGTTTGGAGTTCTCCTTAAAGTTGTGCGACAACCTTTCATCCGCTTCCATTCTACACCTTTCACGCACTTCCTCAATCAATGCTTTCGTGTGAACTTTCTGCAGCTTATATCTTTCTTTCATCTTCTCTCTCATATCCTTATCATTACTAGAGGCCAAGTAGTCTAACCATGCTTTCTTCTTCTTCTTTACAGCTTCTTTCACTTCATCATTCCACCATGCATCTCTTCTTTTACTACTGCCTCTTTTTATTGTTCCACACACTTCTTCCGCTGCACTTACCATTCCATCCCTAAGGTTCTGCCATGTTCTTTCTACACATTCGTTTCTGCCATCGATGGTGTCAAGCTTTTCGGCTACCCTCGCATGATATTTGTCCCTAGTATCCGCTTCCTGAAGCTTCCAGCTTCGGATGCGACAGACCGACTGTGGTTCTGTCACTGTCGTCCGGTAGCGCCAACCCGCGAACAGACCCCTAAATCTAGTAATCACTAGATAGTGATCCGTTCCCAGGTCAGCACCCCTGAACACTCGCGTATCCATAACCTGTTTTCGCAGTCGGTCATCCACCAGGAACAAATCGATCATACTTCTCTCATTCTTTCTTTCTCTAGTATACATATGGATTTTCTTGTGATTAAACATAGTGTTTGTCACAAGAAGACCCTTTTCCTTGCATACCGCCAGTATAAGCTTGCCAGCATCATTAACCCTTTTATCGCCAAACTTTCCAAGTACCGACTCGTACCCTGGTCGAGCGGTACCAACCCATCCATTCAAATCACCACATACAACAATCCTTTCGTTTCCCCTAGCCAAATCTAGAACTTCTCTTACATTCTCCCAAAACTCCTCCAACTCAGCCCTGGACGACGAAGCCACCGGCGCATAAACAGCCAAAAGGAATAACTTCGTCAGTCCCAATTTAAAGCGAACCCAGAGAAGTCTTGAGTTCACAAACTTATATTCAGTCATAACATCGACCAACCGAGAAGACAGCAGCACCCCCACTCCCTGGCAGGCGTTCTCGCTCTCCGGGACTCCGGACCATAGAGCTAACGCCCCGCCAGGGAGCTCTTCAGTACCACTGCCCTTCCGTTTGGTTATACTATGGTTGTATGGCTATATTATGGTTATAGCAATGGGTCAGCTCAACCAGGGTAGGACCATACTCTCATAGAATATCAGCGTAAAATAGCAGATTAATGCTGTTGTGTTTTGTATGGTGAGTGTAGAGAACCGGCACCTTTTTTACTGGAATCGAGGCGTTCCATCATAGTCCTCAGGGGTGACAACGCATCCATTTATCATCAGGTGGACTGTGTGTTCGTTTGTCACCTTTATTCTATTAAAAAGCAGCACCACCAATATAAATATGAGGATGCATGCATGCCACCAGCGTCCTCCCTTATTAAAATTATCACAATTCTATCGACCTTAAAATTTGTACTTAACAGTTGTTATACACAACTTGTGAGTAAAAGTGCCCATAACAAAAATATTTCAAAGCTGGACCCAAGACTAACGAGGTTATGTAGAATAAAAAATCGTTTTAGTATGGGTTCTTAATATTCCTGTTCGCGGCATTTTTTTCTTTAAAATATAGCTGCGGAGAGCTATATAAAGAGCTATAATATATTCTTGATATTTTTCTGATGAATAATAAATTAATCCTTATAATTATATTAAATAGAAAGACAGAAAAAAAGAATAGCTGGTGTGATTGCAACGAAATTCCTCAAAAACGAGTATCAGTAATTAATTTAGGACTGTCCGAATAAACCGTAAATTTAGTACCCCTAGCGATAAGGCGCGAGGCAACATTAAATTTTATTGAAGCGCCGTAATAGGCATTTCTTTACTTATCTTTGCACAATTTTATGTCAAATAAAAAAATATAACTGGCAATAAAAACTTTTCATGCAGAATTATTCTTCCGCCAAGATGGTGTTGATATCTTGGGTGATATCTTTATAATCTGACACATAATTTTTTATCTGTATTTAATTTGATGTGCGTTGTAAACAGAGCACGTTATCATTTGCGTTCACTGATCATAGCGAGGATAGTGAAGAAGGAAATTACATTGCTTTGAAGTTATTTTGAAATATTTTGTGATGAAATATTAGAAGTTTAACAAACTTTTTATCGTTCGCTGGATGCACGAGTTTCATAACCTTATAATTATATTTTTTATAAAATTGAAGTGATAAGCGAAATTACATTTTATTTATTTATTGAATAAAGGTGACAAACGAGTACACAGTTCACCTGATGGAAAGTGGATGCTGTGGCCCGTAGACATCTACATTTATCCACGATTAAGAATTAAAAAAAAAATCAAAATGCGGTGTCACCCCTGAGAACTAAAATGGA